GATGAGAAGGTATAACATCGAAGTGCTTGGGATTTGCGAAAGCAGATGGAATGGGAGTGGACTCTCCAAACTGTCAACGGGAGAATCAATAATCTACTCCGGTCACCCAGACGCCAACCACGAGCACACTGAGGGAGTGGCTATCATGATGTCCTCAAGAGCATCGAAGGCTCTCATGCAGTGGGAACCAATCTCCTCCAGGATCATGTCAGCAAGATTCAACTCAAAAGGAAGAAAGGTCACAATCATACAATGTTATGCACCTACAAATAATGCAGAGCAAGAGAAAAAGGAGGAATTCTACAGACAACTTCAGTCAACACTGGACAAGACGTCAGTTGGCGATATCAAAATTCTAATGGGCGACATGAATGCCAAACTGGGAGGGGACAACACGGGAAGAGAACTAACCATGGGTCGAGAGGCGCTAGGTGAAATGAATGAGAATGGAGAATTGTTTGCAGAATTCTGTGCATTCAACGATTTGGTGATTGGAGGCAGTGTGTTCAGGCACAAGGATATCCACAAAGCGACATGGATTTCACCAGATGGACACACTAAAAACCAAATCGACTTTATCTCAATCTCAAGAAAATGGAGACGCAGTCTACTTAACACAAGGTCAAGAAGAGGAGCAGATGTAGGTTCAGACCACTATCTAGTGCAAGGAACCTTCGAAATCAAGTTAAAAGCCTTCAAGGAAGCTGGTGATAGACCTCAATTCAAGTACAACACTCGGAAACTGAAGGATGAAACTACAAAGGAGATCTTCAAAGCAGCCATCAAGACAAAATGGGAGACGTCGAGGGACATCCCTGAAGAAACCTGTGTAGAAGAACACTGGAAGTCTTTGAAAGCTATGTGGAAAGAAACCTGCACAACAGTATTAGGAAGGAAGAAGAAAGAAGACAAGGAATGGATCTCGACGGATACCTGGAAGCTGATAGAGGAGAGGAGGATGGTGAAGCAGAAGATAAACCAGTGCAAGGATGCTCAACGACAAGAGGAACTGAGCACAATGTATAAAACACTGGATAAAGAAGTGAAGAAGAGTGCACGCAAAGACAAACGACACTTCTACGACACACTGGCAAGTGAAGCAGAACAGGCTGCAGGTAAGAGAGACCTGACGACATTGTATCAAATAACCAGGTTGCTATCAGGGAAGAGACCAACACAGATGAAACCAATAAAAGATGAAGAAGGAAATTTAATTACAAAAGAAGAGAAACAGAGGAAACGATGGGCCGACCACTTCAAGAAGCTCTTGAATCGACCACCACCTGCACTTCGTCCAGAAATACCACCTGCAGCCGCTGAATTACAAGTGAACATAAATCCCCCAACGAAAATGGAAGTCCTGAACGCCATAAAGCTACTGAAATGCGGGAAAGCAGCAGGACCAGATGGAATACCGCCAGAAGCACTGAGAACAGATGCAGAGACAACAGCGGACATGCTCACACCACTATTGCAGAAGGTGTGGAGGGAAGAGAAGGTACCTGACGATTGGAAGAAGGGTTACCTTGTCAAACTGCCGAAGAAGGGAGACCTCAGTGCTTGCAAGAACTGGCGAGGAATCACTCTCCTATCCACCCCAAGTAAAATATTAAGCCGCATCATCCTGGAGAGGCTTAAAGACGCACTGGATTCAAAACTGCGACCGGAACAGGCAGGCTTCAGGAAGTACAAATCATGTGCTGACCAAATTGCAACGCTTCGTATCATCATAGAACAGAGCGTAGAATGGCAATCAGCTCTATACCTCAACTTCATCGACTTTGAGAAGGCCTTTGACAGCGTCGACCGAGAAGTAATTTGGAAACTGCTTCAATACTACGGAGTACCGCAAACCTTTATCCGCCTCATTCAACAACTATATGAAGATGCCACATGCCAAGTAATCCACAATGGGAAGCTCAGTGATGCCTTTGAAGTGAAGACAGGAGTGAAACAAGGTTGCCTACTATCCCCCATGATATTCCTAATTGTGGTGGACTGGATCATGCAGCAAACAGTAGGCAGCGAGAAGAGGGGGATACACTGGACGACGGAAAAGAACCTAGAAGACTTGGATTTCGCCGATGACTTATGCCTAATGTCACATAAACTTGAAGATCTGCAGGCAAAAACTAACAAGTTGACAGAGGAGGCAGCTAAGACGGGACTTCAGGTGAATATAGAGAAGACAGAAGTGATGAAGATACCGCACCACCACCATCAACAACAACAACAAACTCCAATCACCGTCAACGGTAGAAACTTGAAGGAAGTAACCTCCTTCACTTATCTAGGAAGCACTGTTTCAACTACAGGCGGGACGGACGAGGACGTCAAAGTCAGAATCGGAAAAGCAAGACAGGCATTCATTAGCCTGAAACCAGTGTGGAGATCTTCTGCACTCAGCATGCGGAACAAGATACGGATTTTCAACACCAACGTCAAGTCAGTGCTCTTGTATGGCTCAGAGACTTGGCGCGTCACGAAAGGCATTTCCAATAAACTACAGACATTCATCAACAACTGCTTACGCTCGCTGCTGAAGATCAGATGGCCAGAAAAAATAAGCAACAAGGAACTCTGGGAACGAACCAACCAAGAACCTATCACGCAACAAATATGCAGGAAGAAGTGGAGATGGATTGGGCATACACTGAGAAGGCCGACTGAGGACATCACGCGTCAGGCCCTCGAGTGGAATCCCCATGGGAAGCGACGAGTTGGACGTCCGAGGGTGACATGGAGGAGGTCGTGCGAGGAGGAAATGAGAGCTTCTGGGCTGTCGTGGAACCAGGTTCAAAAGATCTCAGAGAACAGAGGTCACTGGAGGCGTGCTACTGAAGCCCTATGTTCCACTAGGAACCCAAGGGACTAATAATAATAATAATAATACTAAAACTAATTACATGCATGTTGCTCATGAGCTAAAGAAGTTGACTTTCGAACTATAGTTCTCGGACTCGAACGACGCTTTACTTACTAAAGCCTGAGCAAGTGAATCGTATCACATAATGAATATGTTTCATAGCTTAGTACAAAGATATGTGTCACATTGAGCTATACACAACTATATTATTGGAGAACAGAAAACGATCACATCGAAGGAGAAATTTTTTTGGATGAAGTCATTCGCTTAGCTGTACATTCGTGAATCTATAGTAGAAAGGATAGAACAGTCCAGAGTAATTTTCGGTCAAACGTCAATATAAATCGTGCGTAAATGTCCGTAGGTGTTTAAAATGGGGAAATAAAAAAACGATTGAAAAATAAACAATTACGCCACATAGAAATTATCTAGAGTGATCGATACTCTGCGATAACCATAACAAAGAAAAAGATTGTACACACTTCTTTTGAATGCATAATGATGGTACGAACTTTTAAATTGGTAACACTCAGATGACTTAACCTCACTTCTCTCAAGTGATTTGGTCGAACTTTTTACAAAATTTTGAAAGACTTATCAAAAGGAGCCAAATGTCCTAATCTAACTAGGTTTTCTGTTACACAGCTGAAGATATATTTCCATTCTCCCCTTGTCAACCAAGTTGGATAGTGTTCGCATTCGTCTTGCATAAGCTGGTGCATGACACGGCCGATTTACTCAACTTCACAGGGACACGAAAACTGATATACACACTGATATGCATCAATGCTCCAGCTTAACCTTTGCATACTGATTAATTTATTTTCTGATTGGAGTAAATGATTGGCTGTTCACAGATTTTGATAGTCTCTTCCTAAGTATATCTGCCATATTGTCTCCCTTGAATTAGAGGTTTATCTGCAGAATCTTTTTCGGAGCAGTATGAACGCATTGTTATTATTAATAGGCAACAACGATTTTTTAATTCTCTTCTCTCTCTCTCTCTCTCTCTCTCTCTCTCTCTATATATATATATATATATATATATATATATATATATATATATATATATATATATATATATAATCTCGAGGTAGTTGTGCCATCTGTGATCAGTTCCATAAATAGAATCGACTCTCATTTCGTATCTAAGAACTGATCAGTGTTATTTTTACTCTGTATATCATCAGTTGCTACTAATCGCCTTATGATATGGGCCTACATCTCAGGTAATTAGATGAATGAATGTAGGCGAATGTCAGAATTTATTATAACTCATGACCCATTCATCCTGTTCAAATTTAACTGGGATAGCGATGCTGTTCGACAGTAAGTGCATTATTCAAAAATGTCTATAATTCGAGGGGATTAATTTTGTGTTTTGTTCTCACAGGTGAATGATTTAAGTTTGAAGTATACATTGTCCTTGTAGACCAGTTTCATCAATACAAAATTCAACAAGAAGTGATCTAGGAAAGTTTACTGCAACTGATTTAGTGATATTTCAGACATGATTTATTGTTGTTCTTCATAGTCATCTTAGTATGACTATGGACAATAAATCGTGCTTGAAACATTGTTCCTACTGTTTCTTCATTGTATATATAGTTCAACCAAAAAACAAACTAAAATGAAATTTCAATTTGCCACAGTGGCCAGGTTTTCTTCTTTTACTAGTGACATGGTTAACGTGTTGTAAGGAACTGTGAAAATTTAGGGATCCGACTACTTTTTAATTCTTGCACAATGCATTTTCCGACAATTACGCATAGATATCCACTGCGTTAATTATGGATCACAATGCTCCGACTTATCTTTCTGAGAGTTGAAATTTCATCATGTTGTGCCTTACATTCTTCACCTTCTAGATTATTACTGTTTATAAGTTTTTCCATTCCTTTATCTTTCCTCTGATAGTTGATGTTTACTTGTTTTATCAATGTAAAATTTGTCAACTTTGGCTGAAGTTCACAACTGGGTAAGGTTTTATGCTGTTTCCCTCTTCTGATTCTCTGTGTATGCTTCTATTTTATTTTATTAACAAACCTTTAATTAAATTTAAAAGTAATTAGTACACCTGTTAACTGAGTAAATGGTTGTATGTTTTCCGCATATACATCTCTTCTTAACTTAGACTACTCAAGTTGCTCACAGTCTAGTCAAACAATTGGTTGCTCATCTCAGTTCTCATGAATCAGACTTCACACTAGCTGAACGCACGAGTTTGGTTCAGGTAAGTAATTTGTTGTGATAAATATTGCTTCTAAGTCCAATTGTTAAATATTCTCTAATTTCATCACCTATCTTCATATAAATATAAATGATATCCTACCATAATGGATTCGTAACCACAGCACTGTGGATTTGCATAACCTGTTCCTACTGATGCATGCCATTTTATTCGGGTTGATCAGACAAGAAATGAATGTAAATAACTTTGTTAGCTATTGAAACAATACAGTAATACTGACTATTGGTAGTGTACACCATTTAAAACTCTATAACAACTATTCAGTACATATACTTTTCTAATTTACTTGTTTTTTACTGACCAGCGTCAAATACTATTACCTTCCTCTAAGCGAGAATTGTTCATGACAACATTATTCCTCATCATTAAATAAAAAGCGATAAGACATTTGAGAATGATAGTTACTGTTAAAACCATCGACTATTTCAGCCTCTATGAATATTGACTTTTTAAGAGCAGTACTTTTAGGTGAGTATTAATTCGTCTTAAGGTGTTAATTTTCTCTTTTAAGGTTAACTGCTTTCTTCATCTTTATTCAATTAACCGATATGCAATGGAACCGAATTCATCGATTTAGGCATTTTATTATCCTCCTATGCTTCAGATGGGATTCCATAAGCCCTTCAAATACACAAGAATATTGAAACCTTTTGTGAAAAGCTTTTTTTCCCTTATTTCTTTCTCCATGATTATGTTGTCAGAATTACCAATAGACTAAATCATTTTGCAGCTGAATGTTGTCTGAAAATGTATTGCTTTTTAGTTCCTGTATTTAATCACTCTCAATCCCGTTGGTTACTAAAAATGACTGAAATTCCTTTTGTAAATGAGAAGTACATTTCAAAAAACGGCGACCTGTGGGATCAATATTAACCACTGACAGTACCATTGATCTGTCTATGGTTAATTAGGTTCTGACAAATGGTATGGTTGAATCTTAATCACGACACTACTCGGTCAAGTTTTTCTGTCGTTTGATTGCCTTACGTAATCATTACACCACTGTGGACTCTATGTGCTGTGCAACGAGTACTAAGCTATTACTGACAAAGTTTTGAGGATGGTTGACACTTGGCGGCTGCCCATATCAAGGAACGTTACTCCTTTTAGAGTGATGCGAAAAAAGATGGTATTAGTAATAGTGTTGGATAATGGAAAAGCCCAAAAGATATCTGTTTGAGGTCAGTCACCCCACGACATTTTCGAAAGTATGGGGTTCGGCTTTGATTAATGTAAATCGTGTTACAAAAACCATACCGCCGGCACCAGAATACCGCAGGGTAAGGGGTAGTGTGCTATTTTACGGATCAACCTTTTCTACCCCCCCTCTTCCTATGGGGGGAATCAACCTCAGGATGGTACTGCTAGTCATCCATGGTAAAACACCTCACTGCTGTCACACCTTTTCGTCCAACCACGAGCATGACCTCGCCCTCTGACTCCATCCCTCATCAAAGCATAGCAATTTACACTACAATGGTCATTGCGTTTCGTTTTATCACCATCTAACAGACCCTTTAGGTATGATATGACCTGGAGGAAACAAGTGTTCCACCAGTGCAGCTTGTTGGGACACATCAAGGTAGCAGCTGTCGGTCGGGGATGAACTAGTGAATGGTGAACAGTTAACTGTATGCTTGAAATAACTTCATCACACAACCTCATATGTATTCCGTTTTTCTTTATACGAGGAATAGCTTTCTGAACTCAATCCAATCATGTACTACGTTTTACTGTTTATACAGGTTATTGGACTAACTGTCATCAATTTAGCAAAGGGTGCAATCGGACCAGATGTATTTCATAACTTCAAATCTTTACTTCAAGTAAGTTTTGGTATTTTGTGTTACGTCTTCAACGTAGCTGTGTGTGAACAGTAAAGTTTATTATTTTTTTAAACTGTACAACAACTAGTTGTATCACCTATCACGGTAGTTGAAAAAGCCAGTCATTCTGTAGTTAGTCAGTTGTCTATGATGCTGGAGACAATTATGATGGGTAGGATATTCCTAATCTGTTTTAACTTCGATAGCATCACTGCTGTTAAAACACATATATGCAATCACTTGTGTTAGGTTAGGGTGTTGATGAAAAATTGGTCGTTCTAGACTTTTCAGGACGACTTGATTGATTTTTTGGGATACAACTTAGGATCGAACCAAATTTCGGTCTTGAAATATAAAATAATCTAAAGGTTATTCAACTCACCTGTGAATTTCTTTGGCATTAGTTCCAGAGTGCACTGAAGATGACAGCCAGGGATACGATTTAGCGATTTACTCGTAAAGATTGCATCTTGCGGACCGATTCCACCAAATGACTTACATCTTGACCCATGGGTGTACTCTGGACTATTTAAGATATCTCTGTATAACAAATCGGATTACAATGAGCTATTTTTAGACTATTTTTCATATTTCTTAAAAAAAGCATTCAAGTTCAATATCACACTGTTTGTGACAAGTGAATATCTCTTGATTTCTTTTCTTTTTCGAACTAAACCATCTCCACCATATAAAGAAGAGGTTATGTCATACAGTGAATGATTGGTAATCGCACAAGATGCATTATATTTCTTTTTCTGTTATTGAGACTTGTGAATGTAAATTCCTGTGCAATTTGTTTTATCTTCAGTTAAGTAGGCTGTTTATCAACTCATATTCAAACTTTTCCTGACTTACTGCATAAAGTATGAGATAAGATTTAGTTACCAAAAGTAATAAAGAGAATTAGTTGACCAACTACAAAACATTTTCAGCATTTGAAATTAGACTACTTATAAGTAGCTGAAGCTCCTAATGATAATGTTTTCTAAGTTGATCTACCTACTACGATATGCAGTTGAGAAAAAAATTTTTTTCTGTGCTCAACGTGTATGAATAACAGTTTTACTGCTCTCTGGGCCTGAGTTCCATATCAGTGACTGGTTTCTTAAGCTGGAGGGATCATTCGTTTGCCTTTAGTACATAGAAAATGGTGACTGGTTGGTGATTTTGTGAATTGCTTAAAATACTTGATCATGCTGTGCTTATACCGTGACAATCGTATATCTATATATTTAGTTTAGAAATATAACAATCTTAGATGCTAAATAGATGGTTGGAAAGGGTAACAATCACTGGCATCTCTGTTCTTCATAACTTTTCCACTGAAAAACTGTACTCAACTCATCTTGTGCGCTTGCAACACTCCTTAGTTATTCCTTACTTAAATTTATATTTCGAGTATTCTATGATATTTTTCTTTTGGTAGGTCACTGACTTTACGCTACTGCAGAGCAAATTTTGATGACACGTGCATGCTTGATTGTTTTTGTCATTTTATTTTCTAGAATAGGGACTAACCAGAATGTACTTGTAAATTCTTTGTTACCTGGCACAATTAATAGTACTTTGAAAATCTCCATTTGATAATAAATAAACCTAAAGCACTCGGATAAGATTTACTCTTCTCAGAGGTTCGTTCTTTAGCTGTACAACAGCACGACATAGCCCGCAGCAGCGTGCAAAGAACAAGTGACACCAAACTACGGAAAAGTGTATGCAAGTAGAAGGAATTTGAAAACGCAAGCAGGTAACAATGTTCAAACTTTAAAAGACATCAAAGAGTGAATGCATTTGGGCCCTTGTAACTGATTTCTATGTAAAGGTCTACAACCGTTGATTCTTATCTCCTCGAAGACTAAAATCTGGCAGTCTACACCTCAGTATACGGCTCCGACAATTGGTCAGTGACTTCATGAACTGGTGCCACATCTTGGTATGTCTAACCATAAGCTTCTTCCAACTCACTTCTACTTCAGTCAGAATTGCCCATCAGGGTAGAAGGTGGATTGACATGTGCGACACATAAGTATGCCTTTTCAGTTTGTGAAGGTTCACAACCTCATTGACTAACTTACCTGTCTTGCCTAGTAACCTTCGCTTGATCTCAACATTGCTCACATGGTGATTCCAGCAAACGCAAGCAATGCTATCAATATATCTATAGCGAAAACCCGATAAACGCTTCTTGTCTTCTGCTTTTAACAGCTCACAGCCGTACAGCAAGACAGAACAGACTACGGCGCAGTATACTCATCCTTTCATAGATGGCCGAATGTCTCGCCAGTCGGCTCCATAGGTGACGCGAGTTCGCAAATGTCGAACGTTCCTTTTATATCCCAGCTGAGATTTCGTTAGCAACCACCGTATTCAAGCTGATGCAACTCCCCAAGTAGAGTAAGCGAAGTGGTTGACACATCCCACCACTTCACTCCGTATCCCTAAATGAAAATCAGTTCCAAACCAGTCCTTGAGCACCATCTCACATTTGACAAGTGCCAAACATACTGATATTTCTACTGAACGTGTCTAGAAGACTATGGATTTTGCAGGTGTCTTCACCTATTAAGACAATATCGTCTGCAAACTGGAAATCAAGTAGATGGTCTCCAAGGGGTAGATCAATCAATCCCTGTGAAGTCGAATATACCTAAGGTTATGTCGATTTTTACATCAATAAGGAAGTGAAAACGAAACGGTGACAGTGAACATCGCTGATGGACACCATTAGTTGTCGTCATTTCTGATAACAAGTGTTTATAAGACCGTACTCAACTTCATGAGTCCGAGTAGAGATCTTCCTTCGATTGGTGTCACATACTTGGTCCGTACTCCCTCACTCCATGTTCAGACTGCCACAACACCTTGTAGTCGACAGAGTTGAATGCCGCTTATAGGTCAAGAAATGTGGCAGGTGTGTCGATCACCAGTGGATATGCCTGTGTTCCACAACCTGTCGTAGAGTGAAAATATGATCCATGCATCCTCGTCCAGGTATGAAAGCTGCCTGGTGTTCTTGGCTCCTGTAACGCGTGGGATAACTTTGGGTTCTAGGATCTGGCTAACTGATTGACTGAAGAAATCAACGTAGAACCTGGCAGACAGGTGCATCGGCTTAATTCGCCACACTTCACATACAGTAGTACACAAATAACAGATGGATAAGAAAAGAGTGGTATGAAAGTAGATAAAGTAGTGTGAGAGAATAAGCAATGTGAAGGTTAGTGTAAATATGCCAAGATGTAAAAGATATGAAGGAGTGAATAGGGACTGACTGTGAGATTGTGATCGATGTTCAGACAGGTCACCAATAGTCGTCAAGTACTGACTGACTGATTGATTCATCTACCGTCTGGAGGACCCGAACCAGGTAGTGTTAAATTCTCGATATGGGTGAGATGAACAGTAAGAGATTTGATCGACTGGAGTGATGTGTTGGTGTGGCCGCGCTGAACCCTCTTCCAATCTAATCCTACTTCCCGTAGGTAGGATGGTGGTGCGTGGAGGTAGGTAGGCGGTGCCTCGGCATGTCCAGTATATATCGAAGCCATTTCAGTAAATGAAGGTTCACAATCTCATCGACTAACTTGCCTGTCTTGTCTAGTACCCTTCATCTAACCTCAATATTTCTCATGTGTGGTGGAATCATCATACATACTTGTGATCAAAAACCTGTAATCTTTTCATATCTTATGAATAGGGAAGAGACTAGTCATATCTGTTTATGACCTCCGAAAATTTCCATGAAATATATTCTGTGGAAAATTGTTTTTGATAGCCCAAGATTCAAGCAAGTCACTAGACTTTAAGAGATTCTGCCTTTTTCATTGTATTATAAAGACATAATAGAACTGAAAAGTCATCAAGTTAGTCAGGAATGCATTATTAAAAAATCCACTCAATTTAATCTATTGTTATGCATTCCACTTGCAATTCTCTTTCAGATTTTAAAGGCTAGTATTGATAAAACGCCACAAATATCTGATCATCCTGAACGATCATTGTCATTCAATGACTCTAATCGTAAATTGACTGGGGAACGTCAATTTCAAGAAGCAATTATTAACACAATTGCTGAATTCGCTAAAAATCTTCCAGATACCCAGAAAATTGAAATATTGAAGTTTATATTGAATTTTGAACCGATGGTTAAGTAAGTTCAATGGTTAGCTATTTTTCTATGTGCTTTTTGTCCATCTATTTGTTCTTCATCAGACCTAGAGTGACCTAATAAGCATTGAAATATTTTAGATTCCTGTTTTGTCTTGTTCATATTATACAGTTTTTCGGTAAAATGTCTTGTTTTGTATCTTTTTATCAGAAGAAATCATGGCATGTTTTGTTTGCTAACAATGAGTCATTACCTACTTCTAATCTAATGACGTGGGTGTGATCACAATCTATATATTTGTCTTTAGCTGAAATAGATGGTGGTGATGATGATGATAATGAAAACATTCTTTGTATTGTGTGTGAAAGAAGCATTTACGCAAGACGATAACAATGTGTAGGTCATGCATGAAAGCTTTTTAAAGTTTCCAATACTGTAAAAATGAAGAAATGAGAAAAAGTGTTCTGTGTTCAGTTCAAAGTCAGCTATTTTGTGTGCTTTTTTCACGATTTGAGTATGTATAATTCTTAACGAATTTCTTAGCAAGTAGTGATTACTAACAGAGATGTTCACTACCATTACTTTTTTTATGGCTACTATCAAACCTATCTGTCAAGTTATACTTTAAGCTGATTTCAGTCATGTGACTGAAGACTGAAAGATTTATTTCCGTATATATTTATTCATTCTGAAGATACTGGTGACCTCAATCGGTATTTGTGAACAATTTTCCAGAAGTTACTTCCAATCCTTCATTATCGTTTGCACACTAAATGTGAGTTATGATATGATACAAAACTACATTGTCACCTTTCACCGCCTTTAGAAAGGGTCTACATAATGTATGTGACAATCATCGGGGTAATAGCCTGTTACCAGTCGCGTCGAAAATATTGCCTGCTATCATACTTCGCAGACTTTGCCAAACATGTGAGGAAATAATTCGCAAGGGGTAGGCCGGGTTTCCTTTAGGTCATGGATTCATTGATCACCTGTTTACCCTCCATCAGATGCTTGAACATTGCCATACGTATTCCAGGTCAACAATCATTGTGTTTCTTGACATTAAGGCTGCCTTCGATTCGTTGAACAGAGCTGTACTCTGGAATTGTCCTTCGCAGAGGGGTGTGCCTAAGAAATTTATCAACATCCTGAAAGCCCTATATAATAATACCTCAGGTAGAATGAGGGCATACAACCACTTGTCTCCATTGTTCCAAACCAGGAGTGGGGTTAAGCAAGGTTGCCCGATTTCCCCATTCCTCTTTAACTTTGCATCGATGATACTCTTGAGACAGTTCTGAATAAAGTGCGTGATGGCCGTATTGATCTACAACCCGGAGAACGGCTATTCTACCTTGAATATCGTCTTACTGTGCGATAACACAGTGTGATTAGTGTACGTAAGTATAGTGTATGTTTTCACTATTGAAGTGCAACGTACTTTTGCAAGATTGGTAGGAACCTGTGCCTGCGCTCACCCTTGGTGGTGAGTCGTTGGAAGTAGTCGGCAAGTCTTTGTATTTGGGTTCTTGTGTGAGTACTGGTGGAGGTTCGAGTGGTAAAATTCCCAACTGCAAATCGAATGCCAGAGTGGCATACGCCAATCTGGGCCACCTTTGGTGCCATCGCAACGTTAGTCTGACTGTAAAAGGTTTGGTTTACAACGCTTCGATGCGAGGAGTTCTGCTCTATGTCTATGAAACCTGACCTATTTGAGCTGAGGATATGCGACAACTCTGTGTTAGATCATCGTTGTCTGGCACCCGGTGGCAACACCATTTGGATAATTCTGAGGTACTAAAGCGTGTTCCGTTCATTGTTTTGTAGCCCTGTGACTGGGCGTAAGAAGCGGAGAGGTGGTGATTGTATGACGTGGTGCTGTGAGATGAAGGGTATTTGTGTCAGATTATCATGTGTTGGTGCATGAGAACTGCGTTGATGGGGTCGGAGAGATCATGCAACTGAGTGACTTGAGGTGTTAATAGATATGCCTGACAATGGAAACCAGTTGGGTTCATGCTGTAACTTCCTTCTCTCTTCTGCTGCTGAGAAGTAATGAATGTTTTGTTTTTGAATATATCTTACTGGACTGCTCTTCTAGTCATGCTATTCTTATTGTTTTCCTCTCTTACTTATCCACTTCCCATGGTTTATGTCTTCACAATGTTGTTATATTATTTTGTGTGGTGCATTTCTTGTTGCCCTTGCTGTACCATGTTTGTGTTCTCATAATGAGAAAACTTTTCCATTAGAAATGCTAGCCTGCTATGTTAACCAACTAGTCAGTTTCTGTGTAACTGTAACCTAGATCTTTTAATCTTGGAAATAAATTGACTAAGGACCAGGCATACTTCTAATCAGAGCAGCGTTATATACTGATACCACAGGATTTCAGGGTAATATCACACATACTGATTAGATGAACATGTGAAGAGTACATTCAGAACGCTGCACATTGCCATTGAATGTGCGACTTCGTATGCTAGGTAGTGAGCCGCATATATTACACCAGTCATGATGATACTACCTCGATGATCATCTTTCATTAACTACAGGAGCAAAGGGAACCCTTGACAGAATGATTTTGTCTGTTTCTGTCTATCTGTCTGAACCTTTGATCCACTGGTTGATTATCAATTGATACCGTTAGTGAACCATCATATCACCTAATGTGCACGATACTTCTCAGCATTCACGGAAGTAGTGTAAAGTTATATAGTCGTTATGGACCATAAAACCAGGTCAAAACCTTTAAACATAACCACGACATGCTGTGAAAAATTACGACAAATAAACGTAGGCAATAGTGAAATGAGGCAACAAAATAGGTGATTCAACATCATTCTTTTGTAGTTTGATACACACTAAAAATCAGACCGACTTCACCTCAATCTCAAAAAAGTGGAGACGCAGTCTACTGGATGCAAGATCAAGAAGAGGAGCAGATGTCAGTTCAGACCATTATCTAGTCCAAGGAACCTTCAAAATCAAGTTGAAAGCCTTCAAAGAAGTTGGTTATAGACCACAGTTTAAGTTCAACATTTAGAAACTGAAGGACAAAACTACAAAGGAAATCTTCACATCAGCCATCAAGACAAAATGGGAGACATTGAGCAACATCCCTGAAGGATCGGGAATGGAAGAACACTGGAAGTCTTTGAAGGAGATGTGGAAAGCAGTCGGCATAACAGTATTAGGAAGGAAAAGGAAACAAGACAAGGATTGGGTGTCGACGGGCACATGGAAGCTGATAGATGAGAGGAAGATGGTGAAGCAGAAGATGAACAAGTGCAAGGATGCACAACGAACTGAGTACAACGTATAAAACACTACCCTAGACAAAGAAGTGAAGAAAAGTGCGCGCAAAGACAAAACACACTTCTACAACACACTTGCAAGTGAAGCAGAACAGGTTGCTGGTAGGAGAGACCTTACAACATTATATCAAATAACCAGGTTACTATCTGGGAAGAGATCAACGCAGACGAAAGCAATGAAAGATAGCGAAGGAAACTTAGTTGCCAAAGAAGAGAAACAAAGGAAACGATGGGCTGACCACTCCAAAACACTCTTGAATCGACCACCACTACCACCTGCAGCTCGTCTGGAAACACCACTAGCAACGGCAGGACTACAAGTAAACACAAACCCTCCAAGAAAAGCAGAACTGAAGTCCTGAATGCCGTAGAGTTGCTGAAATGCGGGAAAGCAGCATAACCAGATGGAATTCCACCAGAAGCACTGAAAACAGACGCATAGACAACAGCGGACGTGCTCACACCACTATTGCGGAAGGTTTGCAAGGAAAGAAAGGTACCTGCAGATTGGAAGATAGGCTACCTTGTCAAAACCCCAAAGAAGGGAGACCTAAGCCTTTGCAAGAACTGGCATGGAATTATGCTCCACCCCAAGCAAGATATTATGCCGCATCATCCTGGAGAGACTCAAGGATGTATCGGATTCAAAATAACAACCGGAACAGGCTGGGTGGCTGGCTTCAGGAAGAACAAATCATGTGCGGATCAAATTGCAACGCTACACATCATCATAGAACAGAACAGAATGTCAGTCAGCTCTCTACCTCAACTTCATCGACTTTTAAAAGGCCTTCGACAGCGTCGACCGAGAAGTAATTTGGCAACTGCTCCAACACTACGGAGTGCCACTACTCTTTATCAACCTCACTCAACAGCTATATAAAAATGCCACATGCCCAGTGATTTACAATGGAAAGCTCAGTGACACCTTTGAAATGAAGACAGGAGTAAAACTAGGCTGTCTACTATCACCGATGACCTTCCTGATTGTGGTGGACTGGATCATGCAACAAATAGTAAGGAGCGAGAAGATGAGGATACACTAGACCGGGGAAAAGATCCCTAGAAGATTTGGATTTCGCCGATGACTTGTGTCTAATGTCACACAAACTTGAAGATCTACAGGCATAATCCAACAAGTTGACAGAAGAGGCAGTGAAGACGGGACTTCAAGTGAACGCAGAGAAGACAGAAATGACAAAGATACCCAACCAACGCCACCACCAACAATAACAACAACAAGCTCCAATCACCATCAACGGGAGAAACCTAAAGGAAGTTGTCTCTCACCTATCTAGGCAGCATCCTATCAACTACAGGCGGCACAGACGAGGACGTCAAAGCCAGGATCGGGAAAGCAAGATAGGCGTTCATTAGCCTGAAACCAGTGTTGAAATATTCGGCACTCAGAATAAAGCGTGAACAAGATCCGGATTTTCAACACTTATTCAGTCAAGTATGTCAATGAGTGCTTCTGTATGATGGTTGAGAGACTTGGCGCATTACGAAAAGCATTTCCAACAAACTACAGACATACATCAACAACTGCCGCCTACGCTCACTCGATACTGAAGACCAGTTGGCCAGAAAGAGTAAGCAACAACGACCTCTGGCCTGCCAACGAACCAACCAAGAACCTATCGCCCAACGAACATATATAAGAAAGTGGAGATGGATTGAACCGGACATACACTGAGATGACTGACTGGGGACAACACACGC